TATATTCTGGAATAGTCAGATAATGAGAAAAAGCTGAGCAGGAGAGATACATGGTCAGACATTATTATTGACCTGATTTATCATAGAACTGTTATCACTGGAAAAAAGGGACTTTAACCTGATACTTAAGATTCCTTCCCTACCCCACCCCTTTACTTTTTTGGGGCCGTTTTTGGCTCTTTTTCGGCCTGTTTTTTGGCCATTTTTTGGATCATTTGGGCTGTATTTGGCCACTTTTCAGGCCATTTTTAGGCCATTTTCTGGCCTGAAAAATGGCCTGAAAACAGCTGACAACCAGGCCAAAAAATGGGTGAGGGTGGGGCCAGCCAGTGGTGGGATTAGCTGGTTCACTGAACTGGGAAGAATTTTACAACTGGTTCACCTGAACCGGCTGAAGCCCACTTCTGCTTATAACCATAATTGAGCCCAACATTTCTATTGATAAGTGAGACAGTTGTTGGTCCATTTTAAAATTTGGTCCATTTTATGACTTTTTGTGCCACTGTTGTTCAGTGACTCACTGTAGCTGCAGATGGTTGTTAGGTGAACCTGGCTTCCCCACTAACCTTGCTTGTCAGAAGGTCACAAAAGGGGTTCACATTATTCAGAGACATTGTAATCATCATAAATACGAGTCAGTAGCCAAGCATCTGATCTTTGATCACCATGGGGATGCTGCAATGCTTGTAAGTGTGAAAAATGATCATAAGTCACTTTTTCAGTGATGTTGTGACTTCGAACAGTCATTAAATGAACTGTTTTAAGTTGAGGATTAGCTGTACTTTCACTCATGATTTTTATATCAGGGGTCTCTAAACTTGAGACCTGTGGACTTCAACATGCTGGCTGGAGAATTTTGGGAGTCTTAAAGTTGTCAAGTTTAAAGACCCCTGGTTTAACCTGATATAGCAATACCGCTTATATACCGCTTCACAGTGCTTTACATCCCTCTCTAAGCAGTTTACAGAGCCAGCATATTGCCCACAACAATCTGGGTCCTCATTTTACCCACCTCAGAAGGATGGAAGGCTGAGTCAACTTTGAGCCTGGTGAGATTCAATCTGCCAAATTGCAGTCAGTCGGCAGTCAGCAGAAGTAGCCTGCAGTACTGCATTCTAACCACTGCGCCACTGCGGCTCATATAAAAGTCATGAGTGAAAGTATTTGGTTTGTACGGCAGCATCATTACAATCATCGTTGTCCTCTCAGTTCCAGACTGTCCCAGTTTGGAATAGGGAGATCTTGGAACAAAGTATATCTGCCTGTTTGGTAATCCAGTTTTATTAGAATTATTGACAGCAGGGAAGAGTATCCTAGTCACCACACACATAAACACAGGCTATAGGTGACTCATTTAAGTATGGGATGACAAGGAGACTGATCAGACATGGAAGTGGAAATCTTTGTTCTGTCTCTGTGTTCTCTTCTTCTTTGTTTCCAAATACATTGAAATTGGCACATCCAGGAAGAACATTAGAGATTTTATACACATCTCACGTCAGAAGTTTTGCATCAACAGGAATGATGGATGGTGTCCTCCACAGCCACAGGAGTGTGTATTGTGGAATGTTAACCTAGTATTTCCTCATCTGCCTTGAAAATACATGGAGTGATTAGATTTGTTTTTGCATGCTTGCCCTTCCATGAAATGATTATTACAGATGGGTTCTTTAAATTTCTGAAACTTTGACTGTACTTTCCTAGCTATGCTGTTAACCCATAAAACAACCCCACAGGCATTGCTTTAATAACTTGCTAAGGTTAACAGGACTTAGAACATTAGAAAATGTATTTGCTAGATTAGGCCAAAGGCTTAGGAAATTGAACATTCCTATTTTCTCTTGTGGTTAACCGAGAGGCTATTGCTCAATATGTATATTTAAATTAATAATTTTGTCTCCCACACACCATCCACAGGCATGCACACGCACACAAACTCAACTACAATGAGAATAAAATATAGCAAGGCACGTTATGGGGAAGAAACTATCAAAGCACAGCGCAAGCATCTTGTTAAAATGTTAAAAAGAATGAAGGGAAAATGGAATGTCATTTGGAATCAGAAAAAATATGTAATACTTTATTTATTAGCCATTAAGCGGTATCAGAATACAAAATATAAAACAGAAGAGTAATAAGGGCACGTGTTAAAAATAGAATAAAAGAAATAAGTAAAAGAAATGCAAATAACAGTTCTCTGTCACCCCTTACAATTTAGCCCAACCAGATGCACAAATCCTCAGCTGTACTATCTTGTTTAAATAAACAGCCATATTATACATAACTTTTAGATTCTGAACACACATGAAATATGATGTTTTAATATAAGGATCCCAGTAGGCCGTTCATCTAACGTGCACTCTAAGATACTGATCTTTCCCTTTCTTATACAATTGCCATTCATATAATATGTCTTTAATCTTCTACCTCTGGGGGTCTGCAGATACAAGTACATTTATTATAAGGGACTTGGTTAAACCTCCCATAGTTAACCATTGTGTCCAACTGCTCAAATCTTGACTGAGTAAATATATCCCTAAGCTGCTTGGACATTTCCACATTTAAATACTTGGCAATTTGGAAAGCACATTTATAACGACTCATCCATATCAATGTGCCAGCCTTACAAAGGGTGGCAATATTCTTCTGGGCTTCAGTATCCAATTTTTTTTTTTTTTTTTTTTGTGCAGGAATCTTTTAAATGTATTTTTCAGAGATAGTTGGAGAAGAAACAGGGAGACCACAGTTCCTGATATACTTTGTCAGTTGTACAATCCAAGAGGTTGTCTTGAGATTTTGTCTGTTCTAACAGATTCAGTTTTGGAGCTCTGTCAGTTCCCATACCATTGATTTTGCACAAAGAATTGTTTGCCCTGATTTTAGACAAGGAAAAAAATTGTATATATTCCCAATCAGCTCTAACTGCAGCAATTAAGATCATTGTATCCACATCAGGGGTGGGTTCCACTTACTTTACTACCGGTTTGCAATGGGGCTGCACATGCGCAGAAGCGTTTTGATGATGTCAGGGTCAGTGGGCGGAGCCTCCCACCGGTTTTACTACCGGTTCTATAGAACTGGTGCGAACCGGGGGCAACCCACCACTGATCCACATCCAAAAGATTTCTCAGATGCTATGATTGCGTTTGTTCAAATAATGGTACATTATTATCAATAACATTGTTAATGGCATATCATTTGAAATGTTAATGCCACTCTATAATGGTAGACCACACTTGGAATACTGCATCCAGTTGTGGTCACCATGAGACTCTAGAAAAAGTGCAAACAAGAGTCAACAAAGATGATTAGGGAACTGGAGGCTAAAACATATAAAGAACAGTTGCTGGAATTGAGTATGTCTAGTTTAATGAAAAGAAGGACTAGGGATGACATGGTAGCAGTGTTCCAATATCTCAATATCTGTCAGAAAGAAGAGGGGGTCAAGCTATTTTCCAAAGCACCTGAGGGCAAGACAAGAAGCAATGGATGGAAACTAATCAAGGAGAGAAGCAACCTGGAACCAAGAAGAAATTTCCTGACAGTTAAACAATTAATCGGTGGAACAACTTGCCTCCAGAAGTTGTGAATGCTCCAACACTGGAAGTTTTTAAGATGATGTTGGATAACCATTTGTCTGAAATGGTATAGGTTTCCTGCCTAAGCAGGGGGTTGGACTAGAAGATCTCCAAGGTTGCTTCCAACTCTTGTTCTATTCTATTCTATTCTATTCTATTCTATTCTATTCTATTCTATTCCTGCAAAGTTCAGTGCCAATAATTGGGGCTAAGGAATCTGGATAACTGTGATTTATTAATCTAATTTAATTTTATTAATAATGGCAAAGTGTGCTAAGTACCTTAGACACATGTTCTTCAGATCTTCATCAGTCCTTCTTAGTTGTTAATATATAGATTGAACAGCCGCTGTGCAAGTATTCACTCTTGTCTTACCCATTTGTGAGGATCAATCCTATTTGTCATAGCTCCATTAACCCCAAAAAGTATTCTCAAGCAAGTGTTTGGATAAAGATGAGTGTCAGCAGTCTGGGTTCCCCATTAAGGACAGTCAATCTCCTCCATATTATTTCTCTGTCTATTGTGTTAAATGCTGCAACCAAAGCCAGCAAACAATTGTTTCCCCTTACTGACATATTTTATAATTTTATGGTTCAAGATTGACTCTGTCTAAAGCCAGCTTATTTTTCTGCAAGAAGGCAATTTTCACCTACCTACCTCTCAATTCTACTCAAGAGGAATCTTTTAGCCACAATATGGACCTGTAATTGCTAGGTTTCTTTTTAATGCTCCCCCACCAGTTTTTATATCTAGGAACTACTCTTTGGAGAGGATATTGAAGAGTTGTGATGCCACCATGGAGAAGACTGCCTCCCTAATAGTTACTCATCTGAAGTTATCTATTGGAGACTTCTAGAGGAAGAAATCTAAATATGATGTCTGATGTTCTTCCATCCTGCCTCATCTGGTACAGTGGTTAGAATGCAGGCTAACTCTGATCATAGTCAGGAGTTTGATCCTGACTGTGACTCAAGGTTGATCCTGACTGTGACTCAAGGTTGACTCAATCCTTCTGAGGTTACCCATCCTTCTGAGGTTACTAAAATGAACACCCAGATTGCTGGGGACAATAGGCTGACTCTGTAAACTGCTTGGAGAATGATGTAAAATGCTATGGGGCTGTATATAAATCTAAGTGCTATTGCTATTATTGATTTGGCATATATGTATATTGTATTCCATCTTCTCCAGAGTGTGACAATTTTGCAGAAGAGACTTGGGTGAAGCTGAGTCAACTGGGCCATGAATTTAACCCCAGTGTTAAGTGGAGTTACAAATCATCAATTCAGGAGATGCATTCATATAGTGATCTCACCATTCAAAGAGGGGATCAGCCTCCAATAATAGTTGCAGTGGCAGATTACTGAAGAGCTGGTTTCCATGGATACAGCAGGTTAGTCTCTAATGGGGAAACATTCCATGGACCATTCATTCATACCACAGCACAGCTTTGCAGAAGGAAGGAGCTACCCTCCATTACTTGCTTGATCAGACATCTTGTCTGAACTGGCCTTCGAAGAGCACATAATATGAAAATCCTGATGAAAAGGGGATGAATGGGATTTGTGCTAGAGTGGAAAGAGAACAGGAAAGTACAAGTGATCCTGTTCTCAAATTCCAATATCTAAAACCTTTATTAAGAGATAACTCTAGAGTAATCCTTGATTAAGCAGAAACTACTCCGGCAGCTGTAGTAACCTTGATGTGGGGTAAGCCTTTTTTTTCTTCCTCTTAAAGATTGAATGAAGTTCTTAGATCAACATTACACTTCACAGGAGTATAATAATCCTATACAGCACCTAAATACCACTAAGCCATAATCAGTTCTGACATTTCCAAGTGAATTACAACAGCTGCTCTATGTTAAAGGGAAATTTTAATCATATCCCCCACCTTTGATAAGCTGGAAAGATAAACACAACCAAGCTGCTAATGTATATGCCATTCCATTAAGTTTCAAGGAGGATGGAAATGAGCCCCTGGCTATCAAATGGATGGTGTATTTGGCTTTCAAACTGCCATACCCACTAATCAGTCAGAGCAACCGGTCTCCTTCTGCCAATCCATCAAAAGGTAATCTTAATCCATCATTTAGGTTTGTGTTAAATCTTTCTCTCCCTCCCTGAATGTGAAAATGGAAAGTCCCAGGAGGAATGGGAGAGCAATTACAAATGAGAATTATTCAGAAGCTAGAGTAGCAGTGTATTTTCTCAAGGTATTTCCTATCTTCCATTTTATTTATTTGCTTGCTTTGGGACATTAATGCCTTACCTTATCTCTAAGAAGCTACAGATAATATACTGGGAAGATATGTGATGCTGTTTTTTGTTTTTCACTCACCCAGTAGCATACAGCGAAAATACATTTCACTTTTCAATTATTGTTAATTTACACCTAGCTGCTATCAATGATGAAGGATGCCATCTACCATGTTTCCCTGAAAATAAGACCCTGTCTTATATTTTTTTGAACCCTGAAATAAACGCTTGGCCTTATTTTTGGGAAGGTCTTCTTATTTTGGGGTGCATGGAGCAAGATGAGACTCCTCTTGCCATCTTACCTGATTTCCAGCTCTGCATTTAAATATTTTGGGGGAGGACTTATTTTCAGAGAGAGGCTTATTTTAGCGCATGTGCTCAAAAGCCTGATTGGGCTTATTATCAGGGGAAGTCTTATTTTTGGGGAAACAGGGTATTATAATCCACCAACATCTAGGAAGTCTCAGCTTTCCAAACTTTATAATAAACTAACAAATTACAAACTAGAGGAATAAGAATTAAGTAGCTATTTAGCCATTTAATAATGAAAACAGTCCTTTAATTTGCAATATCACACAAAACACCAAAATGACTACAAGAAATGACAAAGTAAGGGCACAATGAAAATGTTTGAAAAGTTCTAAATTTAAAAAAAAAAGTGAAACTGTGTTCATAGAAGGGAAGGGTTCATCAAGTTCTGGAGATTTGTTTATGAAGAAGTGAGTTACATGTTCCATTAGAGAAAATTCTCCTGCCTAGATGTTGCCTCCGGAGTCTCTTTTATCCTAATCCTATTTAGAGATAACTCAGTGGGTGTTGGATGCAGAAGACAGACAGAGCTTATCGCAATAGTCAAGGAGACTTGCACTGGAGAAGACTGCCCCTTAAATATGCCATTTGTAATTTTTCAGATTTTTAAGTTCAACGTTTTTACCAGTCCACATCCCACTGAAAACTTGGAAATGTCTCTTAACTTTCATAAATATAGAACGGAACCATCTTTATAAAGATATAATGCCATCTCATACATCAAAGATAGTGGCCCTCTGGCTCTTCCATGAATTCCCAAAAGTATGCCTAAAGAGGATGATAAGCAGCAGGATCAAATGTTTGGGGCTGGATTTAACTTATTTATCAAAACATTTTTTTCTATGCTGACACTCATTTAAAAGGCGTGTGGTTTTTCTTTCTTTAAGACATTTGAATGATTGTCATTCAATCCTATAGGGCAGAGCAAGCCTTCCAACAGAGACATGATTCAGAGGAGGATATTTATCTGTTTATAAAGCTACAACGATCTATTTAGTATCCTTGAGTTTTAGTGATTAGTGATTAGTGATTAGAATTCTGGTACTTAAAAATAGGAATTTATCATTCAGATGTATACTATATACCGCTATTATACCTTCTCTGCAATTTATCCAATATCCTTCTCTTTCTCTTGCTCAGACTAAAATCATAATGCTAAGTATTTCATTTGATTTAAATGGCCCATACTCTAACTCGTAGTCAATAACTGAAAAATACTGGAGAAGGAAGGAATACTAATGCCTACAGAGCTCTATTCAAGTCATTTTCCCCTCTCTCTTCTAATAATTTTTGTTTCTAAAACATTCTCCTTTTCTCTTGCCCAGCAAGTGACAAAATCACCTTGACCTACTTTGGAAGAACGGTGGGGCTGTCAGTCAGGTTTAAAAGAAGTCATTAAAAAGGGACTGAGGTTCCTCCTGTCAGCTTTGTGAAATCCCCTGTTGTACAAAGTTGCCCTTCAAAAGTGACACCGCAACTAATTAAAAGTAACTTGTTGAATCACAGCCATGACACTTATCAATCCAAACAACAGCTTGTTAAAGCATTCAGTTTCAGATCAGCAGGTTTTGCTTTCTCCATAGGTAAGTCTAAAAGAAAGAAGCAGACTGCAAAGGATTGTTGATCAGAAAAGTGAATTCCAACAGCGCAATCCAAGCTGCCCAGCTGATTTCCGACAAGGAGAACAGAAGCTGTACATCCCTGAAAAAACCAGGATTCTGATAGCTGATAACAATAAAGATATTGTAGGTTGTTCTGGGTAGAGATGAAAAGAAATCCACTCTTAGATTTCTGCAGAAGGAGATTTGTTCCAGAATGAACTCCACCGTGGCACAAAAGACAGTACTAAACTCAGCTTGGCAAATCTTGTGTTTATCTGGTTGAGAAATAAAGCCAAATAATTCAGTTTGCTTTTGAAAGATGCATGCAAAAAAAAATCCCCTATGGCAACAAAAAGAAAAAAATATATGAAGAAATTATGTAAGCAGCAGTAAGAGACGTTGCATGCAAAAGCTCCAAAGAATGAAAATGGATGCACTTTTTTTAAAAAAAATCCACAAACAAGTCCGAGATTAAGATTCTGTCTACTAAAACGTAAGGTACAAAATAGAATTTATAGAGATCATCTGCAGAGCCCTCATCTTATGTTTTAATGTGTTGGTCTAAGTTCCTAAAGTATTTTAAGAAACATCTTGGCAGTAGCAATTCCAAACTGGATCCTCCATTCACAAACAAGCCATTACAAATTGCTTCATTATCCCCAGGATACACCCCATTTCACCACATGTTTAAGAACCAATGGTTTAGGCTGTGAAATCTAACTTCAGATCAGGGTTATGCCAGTCTGAAAGTGGAGTTTCATGTATAGTCCATCCAACATGACCCTTGAATTCAGGTTCTGCAGAAGAAAGCAGAAGTCCTGGAAACAGAACTTTAACAAATTATCAAAAGGATAGACCTTAATTATGACTCGCTGCTGGTCATCTTCAGTTTCCTTCCACCTTTCCCAGCAATAGAGCCTCCTTCAGAAAAGACAGATGCACAACCTCAATCCTGCCCTTATCAGTAGTAGTCCAAAAGTGTGAGCAATACTATTTCTGTCCCATACGTGGTCTGAATTCTGACTAAAAGGGATCCAGATAATCCAATTTTTCAAGGTCTTCTTAACTTGTGGTACAGCCATTGCTCAATCACCTTCTCCATAAGTGGGAACCTAGATACTGGATGAAATATGTCCAGCATAGTGGGGTCCAGCATTGGCTTCTTGAGGATGGGTGAACCAAAACCTCCTTAAGAACAATACTGTCACTCAAGTAAGAATTAACCAGCACTAGAACCTTTTCACACAATACCCCAAAGCTACTTTAACCAGCCAGGAATGGCATGGATTTAAAGAGCAGGTGGCCAAGTTCACAGTCCTAAGACCCTATTCATTTCCTCAGATCCACCAGATCCACCAGGTTCAAGCCATTCCCAGATAACATGGCAAGATTTCTCCCAAGCCCTGCATCAAGGCTTGCATTCAACTGACAAGTAATCTGAGTGACTTTGCTTGACAAATGCTAACCAATATTTTTGGACACCACTGCAAGAGATTCTGTATGCCTTCTCCTACCCCCATCCAGGAATGCTCGTGTCGCCTGAAACAGAGCGGTGAGACACAATAAAGGCAGAGAAGTACTGGCACTTTGCTGCCCTTACCACCATTAGGTAGGCCTTAGAAATGACTCTAACTCATGTTCCATAAAGTTTGTTTATGGCAATAGTCTCAACATCTCTTCTCTTGTTTCATCTGTTTCAGTTCTTTCATAAACCATGGTGAGTGCCAGGAACCCCAAGAAGGGAGAGATCACATGGGCCCAATCTGATTTAAAGCTTCAGCCATCCCTTATTCCAAGGCTGACCAAGGTTTTAGAGCAGCAGGAGCAACCCCCAGCTCTCTCACAAACCCATCTGAGTCCATTAGTCACTAATTAATCAATCTAATGGGCCTAGTGTCGCTGCTGTGGATAATGGTGCTAGAGAATCCTAAGGTAATCAACACATGATCCCACCATGATAAAGCTCACCCAATTTCAGACAACATAGACACTGCTCTGACAGCAGCACCAGACCAATGTTTGGCTATGGATGATCTGTGAGAGACATATGGCTAACATGAGGGCCATGAATTCCCAGGCCATCTCAGACCCCATTCCTAGATAGGCAAATTGAAGTCCCCCAAGCCCATAGGTCTTGAGAAATTCATTGTGACTCCAGAAATGAAGTCAAGCTACTCAGGTAGAGAAGTTGATATGAACAATCCCAATTAATCCCTAGAGTCCAACTTAATGAACAGGGTCTCCCATTTGATGACCTGTGATACAGCACCCCTGAGATTTCCAGAGGACAATCACCACACCTACAAAATGTTAAAAGATAACATTTAACTTGACATCAATCTTTATGGGCTTTATTGGAAATCTCTTATGTATTTCTGTTAAGACCTTGGCAAATACTTGGATCAACATACAGCAAAAAGGGTCTTTTATTTCCTGGTTTGAGAGGAACTAGACTTATTTGAGCCCTATTGGAATGTAAATTGGATTTGATGCTGAATCCCATGAATATTTATCTTTATGGAACAATTCCTCTCTAAAAATAGGTGGTAAGTATACTGGAAAGTATGACTAAAGCCTGGAATTGTAACTTTAAATTAATTGATCTATAATGATTAGTTTAAGGATGTTCAATAACTTCAAGTAGAATTTTCCTCACTTAATGCACAATGCTGGCAATATAACTCACTGTACAACAGCAGTATGTATCTATTGCTGCATGAATATTACACTGTAAAAAGGTGACCCTTATCCCAGGCAATGGGATAAGATGAAGTGGAGTCTGAGGATGGTTCTGTTAAATGCATCCAAGGGGGATGACTGAGATAGCAGGTTTTGGTTTTATGATTTTAATTGTTTATGGGTTTGGTTATTGTTGAGAGTCTTCCAGAATTGTGTTCTAAGATTGGTAGTCATACAAATCTTTTATGTAAATAAATAACACAGGATAACTCATCAGCTCAGGCAGGTTTGATAGCTCAATATGGACCAAATGCTTTAGCTGCTTCGAAGAAACTTGAGATGCTTTCATTTTTGATGGAATCTCTTTTGAAATAAAATCGATTTCATAGCTGCCTCAGAAGCTTAAAAATCTTGAAACTATCAACGTTTATGATGAGTTAAAAAAAGAAATGGGATATCTAGTAATAGAACACGGGGGGATATAAATCTTGAAAAATATTAAGTTCAAAACCTGAGGTTGAGAACTAACCAAAAGACCATACTCTAAATCATGTATCAGAAAGGATAGGATGTAGATTTTCTATGTTTTTCATGTAAGAGATACATTAATTCATATTATCTGGTCTTTCTTGTCTCATTATGGATTGATTTTTTAAAATGCTACTTTGAATTATGCTCCAAAATTCTGGAATTTGACTCTTTTGGGATGTTGTAGTCCGCCAGCAGCCTGCAGAGCTGACAGCGGAGTCGGACAGCAATGAGGCTGAGGAAGAACATGGGCCAGTCCTGGAGGCTGTGGAAGGCCCAGATGAGGGCTCTGCGTCAGAGGCAGAGATAGGGCCAGGGCCACGGGGAGTGATGTGCGGACTTCAGAGCTTCCAGAGGCTAACAGTAGTGAGGCAGAGGAACAGGAGGAGCCTGTTCCTAGTACACATATGAGAAGAGCTGCCAGAAAGCAGGAGCAGATAAAGCAGAGAGGATGACTTGGGAGTAGGGCCAAGAGATGATTGGCCCCTGCCATAAGGCTTAAAAGACCAGCAACGGCTCTTGGCCTCTTTGCCGGAAAACAACATTGAAAGAATTGCTTCTTGTTTCACTGTATTCATTTCTTGTCGGCATCTTCTGCTTCTGAACTTTTGCTAAGAAAAGCCTTTGGCAGTTTGCTTAATTATCCCAAGGTCGGTGATAAACTGAGGAATGGTGTTTTGAAGAATTTGCTTTAATTTAGTTTGGACTACGCTGAGAATGAGTTAGTATAGTTTATTGAATAGCCCGAAGGCCTTTTCCATCAAAACAGAAAAGAAAAAGGGAAAAAGATAAAACAGTTACAAAAATAGCAATCTAAAAATATATGATAGATGACATTAAAATTTTACAATATCAAATTTCAATAGCTAAGTTGCCAAGACTAGATAACCCAAATAGGATAGCTCCTCTCTAACTGAGCTCATCTTCCTTACAATCGATATTTTTTTATATATATATAACTGGCTCGTATTGCTGTCATTCTTTTAAGGTATCGAGTGATTGCTCTTACCAGGGGAGGAGAGTCAGCCCTCAACAGAAATGCTAATTTTTGGCTTATATTCCAGTGGGGAAATTTATTTATAATTGGGGACAGATATTGTTTTCTTACTTCTTGATAGAGACTACATTCGAATATTGAGAATGAGTTAACTCTCAGCTGTTCTAATAAAGTCTGTTTGTTTTTGAACTGTTTATATTTAATACTAACTACTTGGGCCTGGGTCACAACATTGGGAAATTTCATTTTTGCCGTCATGGGGAATAGGCAAAAGAAATATATTGAAGAACTGGAATGGTACTACTGCTCCTGAAATCCAGGACTGGATTCAAAAAATGTGTAATTTGTCCATTTTTAAAATCCTATTTTTTGACTAATTAAAAAGTGACATTTCCCTTTGCCATATTTTTAGATGACTTATATGAACTTAATGTGTTGATTACTGTTGTGTTTTCTTTATTCTTTTTCTCTGTTTTGGTAACAGCAATAGAACATAGCATTTAAACTTATATACCGCTTCACAATGCCTTACAACCCTCTCTAAGTGGTTTACAGAGTCTGCAAATTGACCCCCAAAATCTGGGTCCTCATTTTACTGAACTCGGAAGGATGAAAGGCTGAGTCAACCTTGAGCCAGTCAGAACCAAACTGCCAAACTGCTGGCAGCTGGCAGTCAGCAGAAGTAGTACTGTACTCTAACCACTGCACCACCACGGCTCATAAAATTATAAAATTCTTCTCTATTAAATAGTTTATAATAAAAAAAATTAAATTTGTTTTTCTTACTCATTTATGCTTAGTGTGATTTTTATTATTGTTATAAGCTTTCTGTATATTTTCTCTAAACTGCCAATAAAGTATTAATTTTAAAATATGCTCTCTCCCTCATGTGCCATGAGATACGAAATGGATTATCAACTAATTATAAAATTCATAGGTGTTTACTCATCTTTTTTTTAATTGTTGTATCAATTTAGTTGCAAGACATCTTCATTTTATCAATGCTTTATTAGAGACTATTAAAGGAAGTGAGAAAGAACATAAAATTTAATAAATGAAAGCTATCACTGAGGTTAGCTATTTTTTTCATCAGTATTTTTATTTACACGTCCTACAACAGTTGCAAATTGGAAGGGCAAATGAGTTCAGAGAACAAACCACTATGTCTATTTTCTTTTAGGCTCAGCAATTAAAATTGGCCCCTAATGATTAATTAAGCAAACTTTCCCTGCTTTATTTTCTTCACAGCCTTAGGCTGACAGGAATGCTTTTATCCTTCCTATCTGCATGCAGCATCCATATGTCCATGTTTTAAGCAAAATGAAAAGGCCAAAAACATCCTCCTGATCCTCAAAAAAATTTACACCCAAGAAGTAGTAGTTCCTTAGCATTCAGTTCAGTTAACTGAGACTTTGTTTTCATTAAAACAACATTGTTAAAATCTCATTTCACCTTATGTTTGTCCACACAAGAAGTTATCCTTACTCAGGGGTGAAATGCTACTGGTTCGGACCAGTTCAGTTGAACCGGTAGGGATTGCGGTGCGTGATTCGGAGAACTGGTAGCAATGGTAGCGCAAGGCTCCGTCCACCTGCCCGGTCATCGTTACTTCCTGTTTTTTACCTCTGCACATTTTATCCTCTGCACATGTGCAGAAGGGTTTGCGCATGTGCAGAGGGTCTGTGCGTGCACATGACGTGTGCAGGCAGCACATGCGCTTCCGAACCGGTGGGGAAGGTAAGTAGATTTCACCCCTGTCCTTACTCCAAAAAAATCAGGAACAACAAGTACTTGTGGCAATTTAAACACAGCTGAATTGTTACGCTCCTGTTCAGATGTATGTCTTGATTAAATTTTGCAATGGAAACATGAGGTTCCTTCCTTCCTTCCTTCCTTCCTTCCTTCCTTCCTTCCTTCCTTCCCCTTCCTTCCTTCCTTCCTTCCTTTTTTCTTTTCTTTTCTTTATTGCCCATCTTGCAGTTCAAGACAACTCTGAGCAGCTTTTAACTTTGTGATTGCACAGAATAACACAATACTGAATAGGTAGGAGAACATTATCTTTCATTCTCTATGAAATAGTACAGTAGAACCTCTGGTCACAAACGCTTCTGACCACGACCAAATCGGGTTCCGACCAAAAAATTCAGCACTATTTTTTCTGTGGCTGATTTCCCCTTCCACACCATTTTTTTTTTTTTGTAAGTGCCAAATTTCCAAAATTAGATTCGGGTCACGACCAAATCTGTTTGTGACCAAAATTATGGAAAAAATTATGGTTGTGACCATTATACTGTAGTATAATGCCAAGTTGTTTAGAAATCCTTCATACAAAAGGGATATTTTCTGACACTTCCCTCTCATTGACACTTTTAATATTTTAGCTAAACAGAGACAAAAATTAAAGATTCAGCAAGTTTAGTACAATACACACACACACACACACACACAGACATATATA